GCAACAGAGTAGGACTCTGTCTCCAAAAAAAGAAAAAGAAAGAAGCAAAAGAAATTCTAAATAAATATTAGCAAATTAAATCCAACATTGTAATTTTTAAATGCCATATTATGACCTAATAGGACTTATTCCCAAATGGCAAGAATGGTTCAGCGTCAGGTCATGTATTCCTGTTAATCCCTGCATTGAGGAAATAATTGATAAAACCATACAGTCTTATCAATGGTATTTAATAAAATGTACTACTGAATCCAGAATTTTTTTTAAAAAAACAAACTGTTAGTAAACTATTAATAGAAAGGAAATTTCTCTATTTAGTAAAAAGTGGCATCTACTTGCAGCAAGCTATATTTAATGGTGAAACCATATTTAATGGTGGGCTCATTAAAGGCAGCCATGCAGTGTGTTATTATGTCAGTATTTTAACGGTCTGAGCCAATTAAAAAACAAATTTGTTGTAGAAGAAGAGACAGTACTGTCATTTGCAAATTATTTTAATGTCTCCATGGAAAATCTAAGAAAATTAAATATATGTATAAGAGAACTCATAAGAGGATGATACTGTGACATACACAAAATCAACTTGCAAAAATCCAGTTTTCCTACTTACCAGCAACGCTCACTTAGAGAATGAAATGGAGCAACGAATCCCTCTTACAGTTTCTAGAAGAACTAGAAAATGCCTGGGAATACACCTACAAGAGGGCAGCTGGAATATCTGGAAAAGCATGCTCCGTCTTTAGTAACCATGCCATGGCTGCAGAGTATGCTGATGTTAATTTATCAATAAATATGCTCTACTTAATTTGGCAAAGGTTTCTGCTTTTTGTTCTTCACGGTTTTTTGTTTTTTTTGTTTTTGTTTTTTTTTGGAAGCATATAAAGCTAGCCAATATTGTTTTTCATTTTACTCATTCTCATTTTAATGGTTTTTGTGACACAGTGTGTCCAGATACGTTCATGAGACAAAAGCCTATATATGGTACTAAGTCAGTCCTGGCCTAACGTTTGTACCAGTCCATTTTCTTTATGGTTTCGAGGTCAGAGTATCTGTATTTCTTTAAAATTGAACTGTGAATCAAGTATCCAATTGAAGATAATTCTTTCATTCTTTCTCTGGTCCATGGTGAATCTCTCTCTCTCTCTCTTTTTTTTTTTTTTTTTTT